TGGGAACGAAATTCCCGGGGCATCTGCCAAGGGTCAGCCTCCCCCTGTTGCAGCGAAACCTTCCTTTGGCCGGTCTATACTGAAGCCCTCCACACCCGTTCCTCCCCCCGAGAGTGAGGAGGCGGGAGAGGGCAGCGAGGAGCAAGATAACGCCCCCAAGTCTGTCCTGGGCAAAGTGAAAATATTTGAGAAGATGGATCACAAGGCAAGATTACAGAGAATGCAAGAGCTCCAAGAAGCCCAGAATGCAAGGGTAATTGTTTTCACACGCTAGGTGATTGGGGCGCGTCAACAATAGGTGTTTTAAATGGGCTTCATTTCAGTATAATGATTCACAGTTCTTTTCCCACTGCCACAGACATAAAAGGGATGTTCACATGCATGACACCAAAGGCACACCCTGTGCCGTCATTTCCAGATTGTCCGCTATTCTTGCATCCCTTTTTTCTTCCAATCAAGAAAGCCAAACAAGATAGGTGAATAAGAATCTGCTCTTTGTACCTTGGAACTTTATGTCCGGTTCTGGAATGCAGACGTGTGACGTGTGATAAGAGAATCGGTGCCTCCCCGAAGTTATTGTTTGTTAAAACATTTATTACATTTGTTCATGGAGTTCTAATCTGCTCCCAGATTTGCCATAGAAACCAAGCTAACCTTGGGTTCTAAAATTGATAGGCCCTTAGATTGTACTTTTTGATACTGTTTGTATTTTTGTACTATGTGCAGATACAGTGTTTCAAAAGTCAAAGAAGAATTAACTTAAAAGTCTGTGGAGCATATTGTGCCCAAAGGACATGGGAGTTTTCTTCATTTAAGTTTACTGTTACAACAGCAGTGCTTCTTATCATTTTTCTTTCTTTTTTTTTATTGTTGTAAAATATACATAATATAAAATTTCCCATTTTAACCACCTTTAGGTGTTCATTAGGCATTAAGTACATTCAAATTCTTGTGCAGCTATCTCCGTCATCCATCTCCAGAACTTTTTCACCCTCCCCAACTGAAACTTGGTATCTATTAAACTATTAAAGAATTATTCCCCATTTCACACCTGCCTATGTCGGCCCCTGGTAATCATTCTTTTTTTTTTTTTTTTTTTTAATCTGTGTGATTTTGACTTCGTAGCAATCCCATATAAGGGGAATCATATAATATTTGTTCTTGTGTGACTGGCTCCTTTCACTTGGTATAATG